CTTTTGGGTAAGTGGCTCCTGCAAAACAAAAAATACAATTCATTAGCAGCCTGTTTACTCATTTATCCGCACTGGTTACAGAAAGAAGTGTAATGATCACAGGGAAAAAAAAGTGCAGATCACAAAGAGAAGTGTAATGATCACTCACAGAGTTGCAATGAATCAAACAAAAAGCACAATGCTTCCAATAAACATTGCAATGCTCACAGAAAGATGCACAATGATCACAGAAAAAAGTGCAATTATCCTATAAGAAGTTCAGTGATCCCAGTAATAAGTGCAATGACCAGAGTAAAAAGTGCAATGACCAGAGTAAGAACTGCAAAGAAAATGACACAATCCTGTAACCATTTAAAAACACACTGAGCTCACAATGAGCTTGGTTGTTGACTTCCTGCATACACACAAAAGGACTCGCCAATTATTCTTGTAGCCCCTGCGGTGTTACCTTGGTAACTGCCTATTGTTTTGTGTGCAGTCAAATCTGATACAGACCATCTTTCATGGCATGATGGCAAACTATCAATAATCTGTTTTCTTAGTCTCCTCTGTTCTTCTCCAAATTTCTTATTGTTCTAATGTATTCCACTGTTCCTTTCTCATGATATGCCAACAGATGCTAGATTGCTTCTAATGCACATAGTGAGCTATCTTTATTAGTTAATTTCTTTGAAGACATATTCATTAATCTTTGTATTTTTCCAAGATGTTCTCATCATCCTTCTATAAAAGCAGACTCCGTATGGGAAAATACGTTGAAAACTTAACAGAAGTGGGAGCCAAACAGTGGTACTTGTCCCATTAGGATTTTGCAGTACAGCAGGTGTACTGCTACCATTATAGCTGTGCTGTGCTGACGGAGCAGCTGCAAGCGGAAGCAAGGAAATAAATGAAAGATCCTGCAGCCTGACAGAGACATGCTGTTGCAATAACAAGAAAAAAGAAGCAAGCAAAATGTCAAGGCCAGCATAAACATCACGACACTGTTAAAAATGGTTGGATGTACAATCAGGATAATCTGTCGAATAACTAACTAATAATATGAAGAGATGGAGG